GAGGAGTACATGAGTTAGTTAAGGTGCTGACATCGGCATCACTGTTCTTACTATGAGTTTCTGGATAGCAATCATAGGACTTGGAGGGCAATCAACAAAATAGATGAGAAATGTGGTTGATGATTTTGAAGAGAGATAGTGATCAAACATGTGGTTTTTGACTTCTGGTTGCTGAGAACGAATAGCTATTTAGTCCTGTACGGTTGAGTAGCTATGCTAAAAGCAGGATTAATACAATGGTTTCTTGACTCCTGAAGTAGTTAAGGCCACACATTACTTGACATGATTGGAGTTCATTGAGCTTCTAATCTTTAGAGAAGTGATACTACTAGGGTTTCAGTTAACCTTTCTTGGATCAGACTGAGCTAAGCTTTGTCGATGACAGACAAGTAATCATCACTTGGAAGTGACACTATGTTTGATGTTTTACGAAACTTTAACTCGACTGAAAAGAAATCTATGTGCAGGTTTTATGGGCAATTTCTGGTTTGCATTATATATCTTAGTGTAAAATGACCCCAGCTTTGTTTAGTGGCTTTTATCTTCCTCTGGCTACCCTTTTTTGGGATCTTTAAGTTTCATTCCCTATTACTCTCAACCGAGATTTTTTAGATCGCAGCATCTAGTTTCTCGTTAGATTTCGATATTGATCACCACTTATCAATCTTTTTTGCAGGAGCATCTCTGAATACAATAAAAAGAACGGTAAAGTTCCTATGCCCAGCAGAGATTATCCCACCATATATAGAAGTAGATCTCAGCCAATTGGATATCGGGCAAAAGCTAGTTATGGGAGACCTCAAGGTTCATCCGGCGTTAAAGCTTATAAAGTCCAAAGACGAACCCATTGTTAAGGTCGCTGGAGGACGTGTGTCGGACACGCAAAAGAAATAACACCAGTGAGTCATATTAACTGTGATTATCCGGTGCAATCTCCAAATGTTGCTCATACTTGTTTCTCTCAAACGTTGATGAAAAATGAATGGATTGATCTTCTTAGAACTCAAGATCCTTTAGGATGGAGTTTTCTTTTTGTGTTATTATTAGTGTTGCCGGAGAGCTCTAGTTTCCGACGGAATATTCTTATCTTTTGATTCTACAATGCATTTATTTTTCTTTTTACATTTGAACTACTTTATTTACAGACATCTATAAATAAGCTTAGAAAGGGAAACAAAATTTAATCTCCTTTAGATTTTGCCCTGTTTTTAGGCATTTCATGTTTCCTGAAACACTGAAATGTAGGCGTTAAGAAATTGTTCGTCGTCATCTTCATGAAACAATCCGTTTGAAGATGAACAGATCTCTTGAAAATCTTCATTATCCTCACTTTACCTTTAACTTCAACACTGCTTTTCAAATCCACTCCTCTTCCGTTTATATCCTCCATTAAACCTGGTAGAGATGCTAGTAGCTTTGTTGTATCAATCTCAGCTGCCAGATTCATCTTAACCGTCCGTTTAGCCGGAATAGTTTCACTTCTTCTAATACTTTCCCCAACTACCACCAATTCACCGTGGTAAAACGAAACATTAACGTTTTTCACTTTAAACAACGCCGGATTAGGATTATGTAAGGAGATTTCCACTGAGACTGTAGCGTTTCGGTTCGTGTTGACTTTACCGTTGACAAAATCCAACGGTTGGATGAAGGATATGGAATGGACGGTGAGATTTGGGTTATGAAGATGGAAAACCGTGAGGGAGAGCACGATGAAGGTGACTGCGATGAGCATAGTTAAAGATGCGATGAAACCACAACATAAGATGAGTTTGGTCTGTGAATGGACATATTTGGTTTGGTCGCCGTGGTACTGATCTTTGTCTGGTTGGTCGCTTCGGGGAGTGAGAGAAAGTGGAGCTAACGGCTTAGTTTGATCCTCGTTAATCTTAGCCATGGCTAGCTCCATTTTCTTGTATGTGTATAATAACTAACTTTGGAGGTTTAAAATTAATAATATAGTTAGAGAAATATGTATATATATTATAGGATCTTCATTAGTGGAGATATAATTTTCAAGAACGCGTCTGGAAAAATAAATACGGTTGACTATTGACTTAGTCAATGGAATATAAAGTGGGATGAGTTGATTTTAGTGTTGTAAATCTTCTAATCTTTGATGTGATTGGTCCGATTGGTGTTTATTTAGCTAAATGGATAAGCAAATTTGTATTATTTTCTTCCTTTTTGTCACCACATTAGATTCTATAAATCCTGTGGTCAGGATACCAATCCGGTGGTCTGAGACACATAGACAAATAGGGAAAAGGGCCTATTTCCACCCCTACTATTTGGACGGTTCCGTTTTCTACCCACACAATGAGTTGGTGCTTATTTCAACAGTTTTCGTAACAAATTTCAAATTAACTACTCATACTCTGTGTTTATAGTTGAATTCAACATTGACTCAAACGGACGTTAGTCAACCGTTAAAATAGTAGAGTCGGATGACACGGTGGCAATTCAAAAGAGGGAAAAGGTCTTATTTCCACCCTTACTATTTGAACGGTTCCTTTTCCTACCCACACAACGAATTGGTGCCCATTTCAACAGTTTTTGGAACAAATTTCTTGGAGTTGTGATGACACGTCCAATGAGCGTGTTTTGTGATAGTCAAGCTGCGATCCATATTAGTGCTAATCCGGTATTCCATGAGAGGACTAAACATGTTGAGGTTGATTGTCATATTGTGCGGGATGAGATTGTTAAGGGTACTATTTCAACGCAACATGTTTCGACTCATGCACAGCTGGCTGATATCTTCACCAAAGCTTTGGGACAGAAAGAGTTCAAAGATTTTTTCAGCAAGTTGGGTGTTCTTAATTTACACACTTCCAACTTGAGGGGGGGGTAATAGAGCCGGATCAAACCCTTGATATCAGGCCTATGATTAGAATCGGATCAGGCCTTTGATTATGAGCTTTATTAGGTTTAATATTTATGTATTTAGGGTTAGTATTCCCTAACTAGTATATATATGTATGTAGCCGTCTTATATCAATAACACAGATTTTCCAGCATCGTTTTGTGTAATTCTGACAACTTTATATTCAGGATTTTATTTAGATTTCGGTGATAAAAGATAAATCTAGCAGCACTAAACATTAAACACATTCTACTAGAATGAAACACTAATAAAAATATCAACACCATCAAGTCTTTAGATATTCATCTCTTAATCCTTTATCAAAAAAAAAATGTCTTATATATAATTCGCAAAGATCTACTCTATATTCAGATTTAATATATAGTGACACTGAATTAATGATATATATTTAAAGCATAATTTAGATCTTGGTAAATTGGTAATTAGATCTCATATAACTTATATAGTTCATGGCTAATGTCAATTATTCAAGATAATTCAAAAACCTAGCCGATCAAAAACAGATCTGTATATATTTAAAGGAAATTTTCAACTTTACCATTAAAAACAGAGCGGACTAATTATTATTTTTTGTTATTCCATATCGGACCGAGATATGAATTAATTCACTCAATGTCAACTGATATTTTAGATGAAAATCTATGTAGGCATGTAGCTTTACATTTTTGAATGAGCTACTCTTTTTTCAAAATTACTTTCATAACTATATAGGTGACTAAATTTTTTTTACAGTATATCTAAATCATGGATATAAAGCCAACTACTGTTTTGTAGTTAATGCTAAATCCTCTTAAAATAATCTTGTCATCACAAATTTCAAATGGTTAATTTGAAATTTGTTCCAAAAACTGTTGAAATGGGCACCAATTCGTTGTGTGGGTAAGAAAAGGAACCGTTCAAATAGTAAGGGTGGAAATAGAACCTTTTCCCTCTTTTGAATTGCCACCGTGTCATCCGACTCTATTATTTTAACGGTTGACTAACGTCCGTTTGAGTCAATGTTGAATTCAACTATAAACACAGAGTATGAGTAGTTAATTTGAAATTTGTTACGAAAATTGTTGAAATAAGCATCAACTCGTTGTGTGGGTAGGAAACGGAACCGTCCAAATAGTAGGGGTGGAAATAGGCCCTTTTCCCTAGACAAATAATTAACATCTCTAATCTTACTAATTTGAGAAAATTAACATCTTTAATCTTACTATGTTGAGCTAAACAAGCAGCTTTTGGATTTATCAAAAAATATTAGTAGGAAAGCAGCTTTTGAATTTTAAATATGTCTTAGTTAAAAGTTAAAACCTATGAAGCTTCTAACTTGTGGGCTCTAATGATTTCGATTGGTGTTGATTTATAAAGCAGAATGGAAAAAATGTTGAAAAAACTTATACTAGTTTGTTAATGTTGTAAAAAAAAAAAAAAAAAAAAAAAAAGGGTAAAACTGGTTTTCTTTTTTTTTGTCGTCTAGATTTATTATTAATTGTAAATTATGAGAACTGTTACATAGACGATTCTACAACTGACAATTTCTGCCGACTCTTAGTAGATCCACGACAGACTACACTTCATTCTTTATGATCTTGATGAATACCTTCAATGATCCACGACCTGGCGACACTTCTTTTTTTGCGTAGAATCCTGGCGCACGGCTATAATTGTACATCGCTGGAGATCTCTTGCACACTTACCTCCATTAATCTGCAAATTTGATAATAAATCGCAATATCTGAGACTCGAACCTCAGACCTCTTAATGTAGAAGCATTAATCAACCCTTGATCAACCAATGAGTCAAGGGAGCTTCCAATGGGCCTTGGTTTTCTTCTTAGACTTTTTTAAAAATGATTAATTACAAAACCATTCAACTCAAATTGTCGAAAATTTTAAATCCAGAATATTTTATTTTTGCTTGTACTGATTTTTTCTTTTCTTTTGACATATGTTCTACTGAATTTTCCGGAATTTTATGGTTTTCTTTAATTTGCAGCTTGTAAGATACGACAAACGATGACTAATAAGAATCTCAACGATACGGTCTACTCCGGTTGGTACGGGTCCAAATCCGATCCTAGAGATCAATATATGATGAACTCACGCAATCTATTTCAATATGACTAGAGATTGGAATTTAATAATTTTATTTCAAAAGTAGATATACACAAAGACATTGCAAACTATGAGAAAATATTACACACGATTGATGATAAGTGCACCAATTTTATTTGTTACAAATACTTAAGTGTTCATGATTTGTACCTCAAACCAATAAACACTCATTTATTTATTTTTATAGCATACGTAAAAGACTTAGGCAAAGATCCATATTGACACTTTACTTGACACCATTGACGTCTTTGAGTGGAGCTTTTTTAATGGAATGGCGATCACAGAAGCTCTTCAGTCTTTCCATTGCATCCTCCAATACCGGAGTCTCCATATCGATAGAATGCCTCAACCAATTCTTCTGACTAAATGCAATCCCTATCAAATCCAACACACAACATGTTCTTAATTATGTTTATAAGTAGTGTCCAAAAAACATTGTATTAATTTTGTCTAACAATCCTAAACCCTAAAACTTGATACTAGGTATTGAAACTGTAGAAAGGGCTAAGAAACCGTTATCATAAGTAAAATAGATTGGTAAAATTATTTACCTGGTAAAACGACGAGGTTTTCTTCTATAGCAAGCTTATTGCAAAAGTCTTGATCATCTTCGATGTCCACAAAGCTCGATAAATCAAGCTCGGTCTGCGGCAACAATATATGTTTATGAGAAGATTGTCTCAAAATAAAATTAAAGAAGATTAAAAGTGTGCTAATAATATAATTATATATAATAGCATACCCATAAGAAGGTGCACGCCTCAGGTTTCATGTAGCAAGTGAGGCTAGGTATGTGCTTGAGCTTAGAATAACCAAATTCAACTTTGTCTTTCAGAAAACTTTGCCTCTTATCGAAGAAGTCTTTAGGAGTTTTCTCCAAGATGTCAGGAATAGCCGCCTACATGCATGAACATTACACGAAATATTTTGTTTAAAATTATGGTGAGAGAGAATACTAACCTAAATTTATCCGAAATCGAACCGTCTATACCTGGATAACAGTCGGAGGATTATTGTTTATCTGGAGATATTCTTGTGCAGCTTGTAAGATCTGTCCACACACAGCAAAATATGCCAAAAAATTAAAGACAACATACTTCAAAGTTTAAAGTGTATAGGAAAATGCATTTCTTATAAAGAGATGGCAAAATTTAAAAAATAATCGGACCTTGGTGTTTCTGAAGACACCATCTAGATCATGTAGCGCGAGCCAACCAGTTCGCCATCCTGGGACTTTCCATCCCTTTGATATGGATCCAAGTGTAACCACTGGTACTATCGACGAGAATTTTCCCATCGGAACAAAAGGGTTACTCCCAAAGAGTGTCCATCTAAAAACCTCGTCAGAAACTACCATAATCTTGAGTTCCTTAGCCAATTCAGCGAGCTGCGGTTACAAGAAAGAAACAAGGTTAGCAAGTTAATACTTCATCTGTAGAAGTCAAGACTAAAGAATCTATATATATGTAAAAACCTGTTTGAGATGAGCCTCGGAGTAGGTGTTCCCATTGGGATTGTGGGGGTTGATTATAAATATGGCAAACGTGTTCTCGTCCACGAGCGCTCGGACACTATCAAAGTCGATCTCAAAGTTCTTTTGGGGAAGGAAATCATAGTGGCGGACCTCAAGGTTCCTGTAGATGGAGCGGACTAGGTCCCATGGGAAGCCAGGACTCGGAAGCAAAACGTTGGCTTTCGGTTTAGCCAGAATGTCTACCGCGAGCTCAATGGCTTGTTTGCATCCAAGAGTCATAAACACGTCATCTGCTGTAAGCTTCTTTGGAAGACCTTGGTTTAGATAATCTGCTACGGCACTGAGAATACGGATGCAAAAATGATTGTGTCATACAAAATATGCAAAAATAATAGAGTTAGGATGCAAAATATAAGTGTTAAATCGGGCTAAAACAGAATTAGTCTAATAATATTTTTGGTCCGTTCCAACATTTTGGGATTGCTAAATTTGAGTTAATCCAAACCAAATGTTAAATTTGAGCATATATACCAAAAATGACAAATGATTTGGGAAAGGTTTTATGAACAGACAGAAAATCCGGTCCAAATTTAAAAGTTTCCTAAATCCAGTCAGACTTGACCCAAACAAATTGGCTCTACTTAACACTTTCAACACAAAATCATTATTGATAAAATGAAATTATACCAATATGGAGCTGTTTGCAATATTTTTTCTCAAGAAATATTATATATATGTTATCAATAATTTTATTTTATGTATTTACGTATTTATTACCGTTTGGCGGTTGCGAGGCCAACGCTAGGAGCATAGGCGTTTCCCGTGCCATAAAGAACGGCTTTAACAACTGCTTTTTCGGCTGTATTGCTGGTCTCCAGGATCTCATTTCGTGGGGGCAAAATGGATTTGCCACTAGGATCGCACAAAGCATAGAGTGCAGAGGTATATGTGCCTAAGCTGGCCCCGGCAGCTTCTTTGGCTGCTTCGCTTCCGCTGAATTGCCAGTCAATGCACTTAAGGGTTGCCATTTCTTACTTCTTTCTTTCTATTTAGATTTTGCTTTTGGGTGACTAACTATCATTGTTACGAGTTAATATATATAGTGAAATTTCCAACCACTTTTCTCTTTTTTGCCAATGATTTCCACATGCGTTGTTTTAAATATTTGGTATTTCACGTAGGATATTAACTCAAACATAGAAGATAATGTATCACGAGTCCTTGGGGTCATCTTAATTTTGTACTTTAACTAAACTGTTGATTGATACGAATGCATGGTCTATTAACCCTCGCTTGTAGAGTCACAATCTCCTTTTTTATACATACAAAGGAAACAAAATAATTCTGTCGAGTAGTCATCAGCATCAAGAGAAGCAAAGATTCTTACGTATTAAAATTTTGTTTTTTTTTGTCGTCTTCGACCGACCAGAGGAGGAAAACCACCCATGTTTCTGTATTGTTGTTGCCCAATTTATAAATAATTAAATAGTAACGTACGATTTCATGAGTTACTCGTTGTTATTATCTTTACTAGGTTATCCGTGTCATGCATAAATTTATTTTAATTAAAAAAAACAAGTAAATAATAAGATATAATTTTTTAATGTGACTTAATACTAAATTTTGTTATTGTGAAAACGATCAGATCAATATACAAGACTAATTATTTAACTAAGTAAAACTAAAAAATAGTGTAACTAAAGACAAATATACAACGGTGACAATGAAATTTTCCTTGATTATGATCTAAACTAAATACAAATGCATAACTAAATTGGGAAAAAATAAATTCTACAAGAGTTTCACATATATACACTAGATACATGCATCCAAACTTATCAAAGTTGCTGGTTAATATCTTCTTAGAATCTCAATCTAGCCAGTGTATACGCCGGTAATTAGTTCGGCCGGGTTAGGAAGTTCTCTGGCTATTCAGTACGAATCTGATTCAACATGCTTTTGAGCCATAAGACATGACCAAATGTATTTTGAAAGGCTAAGGAGATCAATATAGATGTTCTTTTAACGAATATAATGTACTTCCATGGTATTTGCACACCAATCTATTATCTAATGAAAATAAATTATTAATCTTATGTTTCGGAAAGTAGAAATACATCGAAATTGCAAACTATGAGAAAACATTACGACGACATGGTCATAAGTACACCAAATTTATTTGTTACAGATACGAAGGTGTTCATGATTGATCTCAAATCAATAAACCACCCACATTTATTATTATAGCATATGTAGAAGACTTAGGCAAAGATCCATGATCGACCCTTTAGTTGACGCCATTGACGCCTTTTAGTGAAGCTTCAACTATAACGGAATGGCGTTCACAGAAGCTCTTCAATCTATCAAATGCATCCTCCAATCTAGGAGTCTCCATGTCGATAGAATGCCTCAACCAGTTCTTCTGGCCAAATGCAATCCCTATCAAATCCAACACACAATACATTTTTTTGTCAATAACATTTATTCAGTCGTCTTTAATTCAATGAAAAATACTAGTAATGAACCAACAGACTACATGTCTTAGTCTATATTTTTATTTATTTTACAAGTGTTCAAAAAAAAATTGTTAGATTTTTCCTTAAAACTTGAATCTCCATCTTCTGAAAACTCTAGAGAGGGCTAATAAAAAGTGATCATAGCTAAAAGGAACTGATTATTACCCGGTAAAACAACGAGGTTTTCTTCCTTAGCAAGCTTCCTGCAGAAATCGTGATCGTCTTCAATGTCTACAAAATGCAATGGGTCCAGCTTGGTCTGCGATATGCGGATAATTAATCCACAATGAGAAGTTTGTTTCAGACTAATACATTGAAAAAAAAATTAATAGTAGACTAGAAATTTTATAATTAGAGAATAGAATACCCATAAGAAGGTGCATGCTTCAGGTTTCATGTAGCAGGTGAGGGTTGGTATGTGCTTGAGCTTAGAATATCCAAAATCCACTTTATCTTTCAGAAAACTCTGCCTGCTATCGAAGAACTCTTGAGGAGTTTTCTCCAAGATGGTGGGAATAGCCGCCTACATCATAATATTATGACAGTGAATCGGCCATAAACTATAACAATTGACAATAAATGGAATACCGATTTATAATAAATCTAGCTAGAGATTTAGTAAACCAAATAATGATCCTAACCTGGATAACAGTTGGTGGTTTAGAAGTAATCTCCAAAAATTCTTTAGCAGCTTTTAAGACCTGTCCATATAAACAAAGATAAGGTCAAAAACATAAATTGAAATGAATTTTTTTTACAGTTACTCAAACAGTATATAGGAAAACAATGCATATCACATATATCGATATTGTATGCTTAAAAAAGTGGTTGAAAAAAAAAAAGAGTGGTCCGGACCTTGGTAGATCTAAGGACACCATTTAGATCGTGTAGTGCGAGCCAGCCTGTTCGCCATCCTGGGACAATCCATCCTTTCGAGATGGACCCGAGTGTAATCACGGGTACTATCGAGGAGAATTTCCCCATTGGAACAAATGGATTACTCCCGAACACGGTCCATCGATATACTTCATCCGAAACCACCATTATCCCGAGTTCCCTAGCCAATGTAGCGAGCTGGGATTCGTTTCACAAGTAAAGATTAGCGCCTTGATTGCTAAAATATTATCTTTTAGATTGCAAAAAAATAAAACTAAAACTAAAATCTTCATCCAATATATTGCAAATTGTAACCGAGATATTAATGTATATTTGCTGGTTACGTTGTAAACGTACGAAAGATATATTTTTTATAACATTAAGTAACCGTTGTAGTCCTAAAGTTTGAAGAAAAAAACATGTAAATTATGTAAACGTAATAAACACAAACTAATGAAAAAGATTTCATGCCTAGATCATCTAGCCAATCTTGTGAAAACTTTTCCAAGGTAAAATTACGTTAATACCTGCTTAAGATGAGCCTCAGTGTAGTAGTTCCCATTGGGATTGTGAGGGTTGATTATAAATATCGCAAATGTGTTCTCATCTGCCATCTCTGTGACGCTGTCGAAATCAATCTCAAAGTCTCTTTCGGGGATGAATTCATACCTTCGGACCTCAAGGTTTTTGTAGATAGAGTGGACTATGTCCCATGGGAAGCCAGGCCTCGGAAGCAAGATGTTGGCTTTGGGTTTAGCCAGGATACTGACCGCAAGTTCGATCGCTTGTTTGCATCCAACAGTCATATATACATCATCTCCCGTTAGCTTATTGTCAAGATCTCGGTTTAAATATTCCGCCACAGCACTGATAAATATATAAGCATAGAGAGTTAAGATGCAGAATATGGATAATTAAACTAACCTGAACCAATCTTATAAGATAATTAAAACAAATATTGGAAAATTGATGAACAAAAATAACTCAGTATCAAAATATAGCTCTAAGCGACAGTCGTAATGCAAAATCACGATTATCGTTTCTACTATCATAGAGACAAAATTAATCGTATACCAACATTGAGCAGTTGGCAATATTGAACTTTATTTATGTGTGTATATATTACCGTTTGGCAACCGGGAGGCCAATACTAGGAGCGTAGGCGTTTCCTGTACCGCAAAGGACAGCTTTAACAACCGCCTTTTCGGCGGTATGGCTGGTCTCTGCCTCCTCACTTAGTGGAGGCAAAATAGGCTTTCCTTGAGGGTCACACAGACCGAAGATTTCAGAAGAGTAAGTCCCTAGGGAGGCTGCGGCAGCCTTTTCGGCTGCATCGCTTCCACTGAACTGCCAATCAACGCATCCGTGGCTACCCATATTTCTTATGTCTAGCGTTGGAATTACTAACTAACTTCTTTTATTTCTCTAGATAGATGACTGTTTTTTTGGGTGATTACTCTCATTGCTACTAGTGAGATGATATAGTAAAAGCCTTTACGATTTTTTATTGATTTGATATTTCACGTGGTAAGTATTATATTAGTATCAAGATAAGAAAAGAAAGGCAATAATAATGTATCTCGAGTCCCCCCTACATGTTAGAACGTGGGTTTGCTCTTATCAAGGTGATCACAGAAGATACGTTTGTCAACGTAAGATGGTTCATTTATTATTTTTGACTGATGGAATTGGATCAGAGCCTTTTTCATATTTGGATCTTCAATTATACAAGTTGATTTTCCCTAAAAAATTTACTAGTTACTACGCCGAACTTAAAAATAAAACATAGAACTTTAAAACCAAAATTTATGGTGGTTGTGGTTGAATATTCCTCATAAAGATATAATTAAGGATTTTATTTATTTTGACTATTCCAATATGGTTGGTTATTCCAAAAAATATCCGGTTAGATCTTAGGGATTAACATGACATTTAGTCCCGTTATAAAAGATCAATATATGGAGTATTTCTTAAAAATGTTATTTGTAATAATGGTATTTTATAAATATTATTAAAGAAAAGATATAAATTATTAATATTTATATACCTAATTAACATTATTAAAAAAAGGTAATAGGTAAACAAAAAATTGAATCACTTTCTATGATAGTTTTACCTCGTACCATCTCTTTGTGATAAATTGATGAGAGTAAGAACACAAAGTGTTTAGGAAGAAGTATATTAGACTCTCTTAAAATTAATGTTCCAAGATACATCGATATATATAGATAAATATGAAACATAATTTCTTAAATTAAGATAAACTTAAATGTAAATAATATTTTAGAGATAATGTTAAACTTTCTAAACTTAAGATATGATAATTTTCTAGATCTTTCTTGATCTTCATGATTTTTATATTCTCGGACAATCATCTCAACCGTCAATTTCCGGTTCTCCCAATACTTTGTAACACCACAATAATGTTCATGTTCAATCTTGAGCATATAAATTAAATTATATACTGGGTTAGATCTACCTGCAGAAGTGCAGATGATAAACCTTAAAAATTAAGAACGCAAATTACGGATCATGCAATTAATCTTAATCTCATGTCCTTCGCACGTTTATTAAAAAAAAAAGGTACCCAAATTTTTATTATAAAGAAACTAATTAATTTCGGATGACAAAAAAAAAAAAAAAACAGAACCTTATCAATAAAGAAAAGAAGAGGCTTTCTTATTTTTATACTATTCATCTGGAAAAATATATCCATTAAATTGAGGAAGAGTTTACAAAGTCATGATATAAAATCTAAAAAAATAGGGTTTGCAAGATCAATTGAGTATCATCAATCGACGTAATGAACCTTAATGCAACAAATTCAAAGCCCTAGTAGATTCAGTAGTGACTGTAATAGGAATTAGGATAGCTATTATATCGAGCAAAATGGGGAAGCCGGAGAGAAACATCTTCATCCAAATTGGATTCAGCCTCGACCGTTCTAAATATGAAACTGAGACGTTCCTTATCAGCTTTCTCCTTCTCACTAAGTGTCCGGTGATGAGCAAGATGATCTCGACCTTCTAGATGACGGATGCGTGCAGAAGAAGAAAGAGCAGACTGATTGATGAAGAGCAAGAGGATCATGATGATGATGAAGCTGATCCTAGAAGTATTCACCATTGTCGAAGAGAGGAGCTGCAAGACTTAGGGTTTTGTTTTTAGCTTGTTGAGAAAACTTTAGATTTTATTTGTGAAAACAATTGTGTGGGTTGTTCATATATATAGATGATCATAGGCGGCCTATTTTTTGATAGATTTTTTCACCTATAGGAAAAAAATATTACGTCCCTGATTGGATTATTGAACATATCACCTGTATAATAAAAAAAATATTCCACGTCAATTTATATAAAAAACTCACGAATATAATTATCGGAAAATAAAGTTGAACTTTGTTATGGATCATTTTTTTAAATTGAATAAACATAATAAATATGGGAAAACACATAAATTTGTGAGATTAATTTGAAATTATTATACAAATAACGTGGTTCTTTTCAGTATAAATATATCACTTAAATAAAAATTCACTGCTCTCAATACTTGAGAGTTTAAAACGACTGTAAAGTGACAATTTATAACTCAATTCTTCGATTTAGAATCTCTTTAAACGTGTTCATATATAAACTCACTAAAATGCGTTTGGGTTATATGGTTTTGCAGACTTAAGTAAGTTTCAACAAACACTCAAGAATAGTGATCATGATGAAATTATGAATATTTAAATAAAACATCAAAAAAAGTTGAGTCCTAAAGACCATAACTCACAACACAGCAGAAGTAGAAAGCCATATTTAGCAAAAAGCAAAAACCTTAGGATCCTCATTACAGGTAGAAAGGGACCAGGTTTTAAGACTTGTCTAGATTTAGGCAAAACCCACAAATGCAACAACATCAACGATCATATCATATCATATCAGATCAGATCTCCTATTTCTTGAGCTCCATACCATCCGGAGGAGTGCTCTCGATTTTCTTAGTCCCAATCGCATTCGTCTAGAGCCTTTTCATATCCTAAGAAAAATTACAAGATCTACCACATTTTCCCTATTTGTTTCAAGATCTACCACATTCTTCTCCATCTTTCAACTCATACCACATTTGTCTGTGAATTGTCAATTTTGCCCTCACAGACAGTTTTCCCGCCTGCGCCTGGCAACGAGTTGACATTCGCACCTTCTCGTTTCCCTATTAACCCTCGAGACCCGTGCAAAATTACACCCCACAAACTTCTCTCCCCTGCGAGAAGTGTAACCGCTTTCGTCTCTCATTCACTTTCCCTTTCTCTTTCTTCTCCTTCTCCTCTCATCGGAAGTTAGTTACGGTAAACCATTTTCGGCAGATTCTTTGAATGTAACTGACACTCGATTTTGTCCCTCATACTTGATTAATCACAAGTTAGTTTGTAGTCATCTAATTATTGGTTCGTAGTCATCTAATTTGATTTAATCGTTTCGTCCCCAATTTCTAGGGTTTCTGTCCATCTGCATGCTCCTTTTCCACTGTTCGATTTTCAAAGAAATTCTTAATTTTTTCTCCTGTTTTCTCTCCTCCGCCGCAGATGAAGTCCTCCTCGAGTAAATTGAAACAAAAGTCTCCGCTTGGCAGTTCCAGGCGCCCGGTTTCCTTTGAAGACGACGACGACCCTTTTGTCTCCGCCAAGTCAACCGCGACCCACTCAAATTCTCCATATCAGCCGCGACCGGAGATCCCGGTAGTAAACAGGGACAAACTTCCGAAAAGGCTCTACGCCACTGACTGCTATCCGCCTCTCGGACGTATTAATGCTTATTCAAAGCCGGAGTATCTGCTCGATCTCGTCGAAATCCTAGAAGGGACGAAAGAGTTAAATTATCTCTGCGCCTCATGCTTTGGCCCGCTGTTTCAGCTTCCTGTCCGCAAATGTTCGTTTTCCGGCAAATTAGTACATCAGATGTTGTGTAGAGGCGTCTACACAAGGAAAAAACACGAGCTATGGTTTATTTTTGCCGGTCAGCCATTCCGTTTTTCGTTAAGAGAATTTGCCATTCTCACTGGTCTGGATTGTCGGCCGTATTCTTCACCGGCAGATGTATTGAAGTCGCAGAGAGAATGTACCAAAAAACATCCGTACTGGAATATTCTCATAGGCGAGGACCACACGGGTGTCCTCATCAAGGACATTGTTGACTGGCTGAGGAAAGACAAGATGAAGCCCAAGAAAGAGAAGATGGATGACTGGAGAAGGCTTCGTCTCGCTCTTATCGTGATCGTTGAAGGGGTATTGCTTTGCAGTTCCCAACCTGTGAGAGCTTCTCTTCAAGTTGTCGAAATGGTTCAGCATTTGGAGTCGTTTGAAGCGTTTCCATGGGGACGAGAATCATTCCTTCTGACAATGCGAATGGTTAAGGCCAGTCAGAAGGTTAACAGTCTCTCTGCCCTAATTGCGAAGTTCAACCAGTCTCACTCTTCAACCCATGGGTTCCCTCTTGTCTTCCAACTGCTGATGTTAAAGGCCATCCCAGTTTTTGAGAGATACCTTAATCAACCTGATGATACGCAGACTATCATTGATGGGTCAATCACTACTTTGCCTCCGTTGAAGACTTTTCACAATTCCAACATAATGGAAACAGAGCTAATTCCTGGGGTAATTATTATTTTTGTCCTTCTCGTGAACATTATTATTTTTTTACCCTAGTACCCAAGTGTTTACTAATTAATTATTGAATTCAATGTAGTTAAGGATTGCCCCGCTGTTGTCTACTGATGATCCCCCACCCCCATCGATCAACGATTGGCCTGATGAAGTCTCTGACCCGGCGATTGACTATATGGAAAGCCTTATTGGTGGCGGATACAAGTTCTGCCAAGCTGACTGGATTGGTGGGTGTCGTACTTGGCCAAAGATAGTCGTTGATGAGAACCCCAAAGAACCCAATGTTCGCAAGACCAAGAAGGTACATGTGAGACGTCCAAATATAAACTCTGACATGCCTGAGTTTCCCCAGGGTGGTCCATCTGGTTCATCAAAAGGTAAAGGGAAGGTCGATGAAGACTTTTGTCCCCCAGCAGGGACTGAAGGTAAAGATGTTCTCCATGCTCTGATCATGGAAGAAGTTAATTCGAAGTTCCGTGACATGAAAGAGGAATTGAAGGTTGAATTGATGGGTGAAGTCTGTCGGATGTATGGAGTAGAGAAGTCTTTATTGAAAGACGAACTCTTAGACGAGATTATTAGCAATCTGCGCCATGGTGGGAAGTTTCCAACAACCCCCCCTCCGAAAGCTGCTTCACCAGGTAAAAACAAACCATCTGAGGGACAAACCTATGGTCCCCCTAATAATGCAAATGTAAACAAGGAGTCCGGGGGACACGCAGATGTCCCATTAACGAACGCTGTTACTGAGGGACAAACGCATGGTCCCCCAGAAAATATAAATATCAACAAGGTCCCTAGTGGGCAGACCTCTGATTCCCCCCATGTCCAGATAGACCCTCCCGCCCCAAGTTCTCCTCAATCGCCGTCTAAGGGGAAAAGTAATTCTCAACTTTTGGAGGAGTTTCAGCGGCAAGCCTGGTCTGAGTACGGAGGAGTGTCTGATGTTTTACAAAACCTCAACCAATCTTATGCATCTCCCTCTGGTCCTGCTAAGTCTGGTCCGTTTGGACCTTCTCCTGGTCTTGTTGCTTCTGGTCCTTCTACCATTCATCCATCTCCTTCTGGTCCTTCTTCCTCGAAGTTCTCTATTGATCACAACGTAAGTTTCCTTGTTGCTTCTGGTCCTTCTCTATTGTTTTGACGTTGAATAACCTCTGTTTCTTACATATTATTCAGCCAAAAGACTTCCAAACTCCATTGCCAACCATTAGTGAGGACAACGCAGAGGAAACCGAGGACGAAGAAGTTGCAGATGAGGTTTGTATATTACATTTTTTTTTTGTCTACCTCTTTCTGGGAATGGTTCCTAAACCATTTTACACAGGTCCTGGTTGGAAAGTCTGTTAAAGAGAATTTTCCTGAAGATCACAACGTAAGTTTAACTAAAGTCATTATTTGTTTTCTTATGTGGTGGAGTTTTTTGTTTTTCTAATCCTTTTTTACTTTTAATTCTCTTTACTTTTAGCCCAACGACTTCCAAACGCCTCATCAAGATGTAGAGGAGATCAGTTCGGCTGATGAATCAGAGGACGATCAAGATACAGAGCAGGTTTGTCTTTGTTTCAACGTGGATACTTGTGTCTTTCCATGGATATGATCCTCTCTTCTAATCAACTATAACAGGTTGCTGGTGGAAATTCTTTTGGTGTGTCTGAGGACATGGGATTTGTTGGTGAGGAGAGAAGGGAAGCTATAGAGAATAAGTCTGTTGGTGTGTCTGAGCACGTTGATGTTGTTGAGTGCGAGGACAGAAGAGAAGAAGTAATTGAAAAGTCTGTTGATGTCTCCGGGGACGATGTTGAGACTGAGGTTTTAGAGGATAAGTCTGTTTCTGGGGACCACGAACCCAAAGAGGGTGACGAGAGTAGTGGTGATAGTGAAGGAAGGTCTGAAGACGAGGATCACCAAGATGAAGCTATGGACGAGGTATAATACTTATTTCTGTAATAACTAAAACGCAAATTCTAATTTCTTATCCCTAACCTGTCGTGCCCATTCATCTAGGCAAACAAAGCATGGCCGCCAGAGCTTTTTAAATCCTCAAGAGGTGCTGATGAACAACTGGTTGACGATCAAGAGGTATCTCATAAATTTTCAGCATTTTAATTGTGGTTCTGTTTGTCCCTTTCCCTAAAATACCTTTTTTTATAGGGAAATGCTACTGGTGGTGTGGCAATTTCAGAAAAAAGTCCCTCTGGGAAAAAGAGAATATCTTCTTCTCTTGGCGGGGATTCTTCTAAGCCGATCCTCCCTCCCAAAAGGGCAAGGAATAAATCCCACCGTTTCCGTGACCCTATTCCAGTCCAGGGACAAGAATCCACAGGGACCAACAGTGTTTCCCAATCAACTGATGAGGTTTTGCACCCGTTTGTCCTAGTAAATGATGATCTTCGGAAACATTTCTTGTCCACTCTCAAATCTTATCGCCAGAGGTAATTCAGTTTCTTATTGAATTCATTACTTACTTCTTTTTCCCCAAACCTTTAAATTACTATTTTCCATTAATGGTCAGGGAGTTCGTCCTCGATGCACATGTTGTCCCCAGATCATTTTTTAAGGATATGCTTACTCCTCACCATTCTGTCCACCAAGAGGTACGTTGTAAACCAATGATACCTGCATTTTATAATATCATGTCCCTTAAATTAATTATTGTCCTCTATACAATCCAGCACATCGATGCCATGCTAAGCCTGTTGGCTCGGAGGTTTGGGGATACTTTGGTCCAGAGTAGGTCTGCCATACTTGATTCATGGTTTTCGATTACCCTTAGCGAACTCTATTCTCGTTTCAAGAAGTCCAAAAGTAAATCTGAGTGGCCGTGGAACAGTAAGATACGGGACTACGTCAGGGGTATAGTCCCTGGCCGATTCACGAGACAGGCTTGGTTTTCTGATGTCGACACTCTGTACGCGCCTTTACATCTGTCTGGGGGCCACTGGGCTGCGCTTGTCATAGATCTGAAAGAGGGTACCATAGGTGTTCTTGACCCTAACGTGGCTGCCAAAACCGACAAACAGATGGGCGTGCTCATGAAACCTCTCGTTGTGTTGCTTCCTTTTATCATCAAATCACTTGTCCCCCAAGATGTTCTCTGCAATCATCAAGTTCCCCCTGAGTTCGCCTTTGATCGTCTTCCTGAGATCTTTCAAAGCGAACATGAAGACGAAAGCGGCACGCTTGCTATGAAGTACATTGAGCTTCATTTCCAAAACATTAGTCACGACAGCATAACTGAAGAACTTGTGGAGAATATCCGGATGAGATTTGCTGTCGACATCTTCGAGGAGTTTGTTCAGCCTCTCCGGCTGTGATCCCCCTTTCAATATTTCTGCTTAAGAACTTATGTCTTTTTGTAATAATTATTTACTCTTCTTGGATGCTACTTGGATGCTTAGGAACTAAATATTTTTAAACTGCTATCTATTTAGGAACTACTTGGATATTTAGGTTGTCCTCCGCAAACAGAGATCCTGTCTCCTAAAATATTCTATATTATGTTGTCCTGTCACAATTTTGGATAGGCAATTTTTACAAACAAGTCAACGTTTAGATACCCAATAACAACAGTAGAAGCCAGTTGCTCTCCACTATTCTCTCCCCTAACCCGTTACGCTTCCCCATGATTTTCCTTCTGTGTCATCACATCAGCGAAAAGGTAACTTTTTGCTTAATAAATTTATATTATATTCTTTTCAAGATTTTTGGGCACCAGTCTCTATTTATCTCTCCACATTAATGATCTCTTCATCTACACAATTATCCCCTTTCTCTCAAACTCCCCCCAGCCTACTCCATAATTTCTACCATCTAATTGTTTCCCACGAACCATGGGCCTCCATAGTTATACCCAGTCGAACGATTCATCCCGAGAATCTCTTAGTTCTTATGGACCTGTTTATCCCGGGCCAATGTCTTTTGAAAATCTTGGTATACCTCGTCACTGTTACTGCGGAGGGACGGTCGTACTTGCGAATTCACTCTCCGAGGACAACCCTGGCAGGCAGTTTTATCAGTGCGAGAAGAGAGATGTAAGTTTAAATCCCACTCTTACTATATTCAATAATTCGATCTACTATAGTTACATTTGCTATGTTTGTATTCAGGACCGATCTGGGCGCCATCTTGTTAAATGGTTGGACGAGGGATTTATGGAGGAGATTTCTGCGATTAAGTGCTCTATTAGGGAACAGGAAGAACACCTTAAGTTCCTACTTACCGCCCCTAACGGGGAGCACATGGATCTTGCCTTGATGTGCGATCGTCTGGACCTTTACCAGGAAGACATTAAATTGCTTCAGCAGAATTTATGTCTTTTGCAACGCTCCCCTCGTTCCATTGTCGACGTCGCTCGTTCGTGTCCTAAAATCATCGTTCTCGTCCTTGCGATTATTGTCCCCGTAGCCGCGTTCGTGCTTGGCACTTATATGTAGCTTTAATAGCTCTTTTTTCATCCCTCGGCTATTATGTCCCCCATTTTTTTCATCATGTTGTCTACTGGGGACTATCGTGTAATGTTCGTCCCTCTTTTATTGTAGCCCGAATTCTACAAGTTATCTATATTTAAGATATGAAGCTATCACTTAGAGACGTTCGTGTCCTCCCAACGTGTTTTTGCTTACACGCGATTATTGTACCCGAGACGCTTCCAAGCTTCGACTCAATTCTACAACTTATATATATTGTAAAAATATGAAGTATCAAGATATCTCGCCCCAGATCTACTTATTTCTATGCCGACAAGCTACCGTAAATTGTATATTCACATCCCCCAATGCAATACGAAACTGCTAAACAGTTATCCCTTAGAATAGTTAATCACCTAGTAATGAGATAGGTCTTGTCACTTTAATTAGTATTTACTTTTCCACATTCATTGTCCCCAACTACTAATTCAAAATCTCTAACAGCAGCATTCATTGTCCCCAACCATTAATTAGTAATCCCATCTATATATAGGTAAGTAACAACATTCATTGTGCTAAACCATTCCTAATTCCAATTCCTTGATATGTTTTTGTGGCAAAAGCTTCCCAAACATCTTAGAGTATCGATTGTCCTTCTTGTTGGTAAGTCATGTTACCGACACTTAGGTCCCCTTATTCTCTCTGGGAACGCTGGCATGCGTCTCGCACTTGATCCTTCTGTTTTGCGGGAGACTTCTCTGGCTCTCCTTGAAGCGCATCCTCAAAATGTTTTCATCGGTTCACCCATTTACTTCTTTGTTTTACGATGTGTAAAGGCTGGAAATCCTGCTGCTTGTTACTTAGAGAGCATTAGGCTCGCTACAGTTGAAGGTTTAATCAAAGAAGCAATGCACATGCTCGCTCATATACCCGATCCATCCGACAAAATTCTTTTCACCAAGGGTCTCTACCTTGTCTCTATTAATAGACCTAAGGATGCGATCATCGCCATGAATCTATTCAAACAAGAAGTTGTCTCTTCTCGCAACGCTGATCGTGTGGCCAAGCTTGTGATATCCGATATTAAGAAGATTGCCCCAACCCAACTTAGATTCAACTGGACTGGCTATACGTGCTACTTGATCCATCCCCCTCGTCGATATTCAGAATGTTCCAACTGTAATGTTTGGAACCCCTGTCCTCTCTGTGTTAATTGGTGGGTCTTATGATTTGTTTGTTTTTCCTTTATATGGTCTCCCATATATTTTTGTCTTCCGCGAAGATGTATATGATAAATATATATAGTTTTTGTTCGATAAGTTGTGAGATGTGCTTGCCAAAAGATACCCATACATGTCATACTACATCCAATTACCAAAAGATAAATATATATTAGTTATACTTTCCGTGTTAAGCCATGGACTAAAAAATTGGATGTTAAGCCATGGACTAAACAAATTTCCCGTGGCCTATCCAACCTACGTAACGATAAACCCTCTTTTCCGCAATACTTCATGGACCAAAAGCCGCCGAAGTATTATTCCCTAAAACTTAGATAGGATTTTTGCAAGTTGCTCTGTTGTGGCCATCCTTCCCACATGTGGTGCATTTGTTAGGTTTTTTTTTCTTCCCTCCTTTGCCCTGCAACACATACATGGACACAATTAATTTTTTTGTGTTGAAGGACAAAACTCATTTAAGACTCTTAATTTGTTACCTGATACTCTCCCCGCGATGGTATGCGTACTGTCTTTGGTCTTCCGCCTGGTCTTCTTGTTTTTGGTGGATTCACAACCATTTCACTAACTACGTTTGGGACCTCCGTGTCTTTTTCCTTAGGCGGAAGTAGAATATGGGCACGCCAGAGCTTACGCCACTCCGTCACGAATGCATAGTTCCCGATCAGGGAGTAAATGTCCACGTTCCTTATCCCCACCGCGGCTAAAGCGTGACAACACGGCACCATTAGCACATCAAATACTCTGCAAGTACATGTTTTTTTCTCTAGATCCACAGTGAAAACGATACCAAAACCGTCGTTTACTTGATAAATCCATTCACTTGCTGCTATGACAGCACAATCTGTCGCTAATTTCAGGTGATCTATTAGCATTTCCTCGATCTCTGGCGTACATCTTGTCCTCGTTCTAGTTGCAGCTTCTCTTCTCTCGTAAAACCAACGCATTAACATAGTCCTAATGAATTCTACCATCGTCACTATCGGGAAATCTATGGCTTTTTGCATTGCAGCATTTAGGGACTCCGAGATATTGCTGCTCATCACATTGTATCGCATTCCTGGGAAGTACGCAAGTGTCCAATGAGATATTCCTATCTCTACCAAATAATTGGCACAATTGATGTCTCTTTTCTGAATTTCTTCAAACCAATATCGCAAATCTCCCATAGTGTAAGATCTAGCCGCATTGGACACCATTTTAGCAAGCCCCTCACACTTGAAATGGTGGACAACGTTCCTAAATAAATGCACAGTGCAGCAAGCGTGCTTTGCAAGTGGATACACTGTCCTTAGTCCAGCATATATGGCCGCATGTCTGTCGGAGACGAAGACAAGATCGTCTTCATCAGGGACAAACTGTAACAGTTGTTTGAAAAACCACGTCCACCCTGCTATGTTCTCACTGTCAATGACTCCGAATGCCAATGGGAATATTTGATAATTTCCATCTTGTCCACTGGCAGCAACTAAACAGCTTTTGTATTTCCCTTTAGTCTGTGTTCCATCTATCACTATTACTTTCCGCAAATACTTATACCCAGCAACTGAAGCCCCAAACGCAAAAAATAAATATTTGAAACGGATTTCCCCCTCCTCAGTATAATCCGTATGGACTGTGGGACAGCGTA